GCTCTGGGGTGCCTGAAAGACGCCTCCCTTCTGATAAAGGCAACCATCGTCGTCTTTGAGGAATGATGTTGAAGTGAGATTAGAAATAAGGAAGCATTTTGATAAACTCACAGATGTGAGATTCATCAGACGGTCTGAAGAGAAATTACCCTTTGAACTGACATCAGAGGAAGTAACTACCAGGATTTCTCCTCAGTCGGCCCCAGCTCTTCAGCCAGGCAGCTTCAGAGGCCAGGAGCAGGGGCTGCAAGCGTGGTTCTGAGCAAGGGTATCCCTCTGGCCCTGAGAAGCGCAAGGCCTTTCCCACCTGCTTCCAGCCTTGGGGCATCAGTGAGAAGGGCTGTGTGGCTGTGGCCAGGTTTCTTAGCCTGCCTGTGCCTCAGAACGGGGATGATGAGAGTACCTACCTCACTGGGCTATGAAGAGGACTGAGGCGTTACTATATGTATATATCTATATATATCTATATCTATATCTATATCTATATCTATATCTATATCTATATCTATCTATCTATAGATTGATAGATAGATGCGCGCCTGGAACAGTGCTCAGTATACAAGCAGCACTCTGCGCAGTGGTTAAACAAACATCTAAAGTCATTCACGCTGTAAGAAACCCTTAGAGATAGTCCAGTCCCTTGACTTAGTGTCACGGATAACGCACCTCACTGGAAGGATGCAGCAGGCCCTCTGGAGCATTCCCGTGAGCTTTAAATATCACTTGAGTGACAGCTTTGGCATTAGCGGCGACCACGTCACCTGTTGTGAGGAACACTCCTCAACGACACCACGGTTAAATGTCCTTTCTGCCCCTTGGAGCCTCACAGCTGAGAATGAGGTGCGACCTGTAGAGAACGCTTCCTGCCGACAGGGCACTGTATCACACACTTGATGCCTGTCTGCAGCCGAAGGTCACAGGCGGGACGGGGGAGGGCAAGGCCCGGGCCCCGGGCCCCACGCGGTCCCCCACGGCGAGCGCGCCACGCACAGCAACCGCCAGTTACAGAAGCGCGCGGACGACTTAATAACAGGGACAAAGGTGCCTCTGGCTTAATGTGTTTGTGAAGACGTCAGCTTTACCACACCGTCTGCGCAGGACACAATGAGACTGGAGCAGAAATTCGCCCCTCTAGTCATCGGATGGAGGCCGAGGGTAATAAAAGCGCCTTCATCCGACCGTGGTTGTGCACACGGACTGGGCCCTGGCCGCCGCTACCACCGTGGAAAACAATCCTGCCAATGCCCAGGTCGACGAGGCTGCCATCCGAAGGTGACAGAGCACCGCCAGCACTTCGGGGCCCTGGGGGCTGCCTCTACCTGGCCCACGAGAGGCTCTATTTTGGCTGTGCCCTCAGGTGCCCTCTAGAAACCTGTTCTTCAAAAAAATAGACAGCAACTCATTCAGAGGAGACCAGCTCCACTTATTTGCCCCAAGGACAGAGCGAGGCGACAAGGAGCAGGCTCACACCCCAGCAGTGGGACTGTGTTTAGGCAGGAGGAGGGACTGGCCGTCGCTGAAGATTAACTTTAAAACCTAGCTAATTTGGGCTAATTGGAGGGAGGTGATTCTGAATCACTAGAAACTGAGTTAGACACCATTTTTCAATAAAATACAGTTTTTTGCTTTCAAGCACTTACAGTGACTCAAACTAGGGCACTTTAGTAAATGAATAAGAGTGATAATTAGCATCTTGTCGCTTTGGAGGGAAATGCAAATGCTCAGAAGAAAATTTTTCTTCAACGAAAGGGCAAAAAGCAAGCGTCAGCCCAGCCCTGTCAAATTACTCCACATTTTGAGCCTGCAAGGGGTGCTGCTAAACCGAGGATAGGTTTAGGTGGCCGGGGGTGGTGGTGGAGACATTGTTTTCTGAGCAGTCTTTGGAAAACAGGGCATTTGAGATGGTCCAGGCATAGAGCCCACAGGCCCGATGACCCGTTTCCTTCAAGCTCTCTGTGGATTTTTGCCTTACGGCTTAGCTTTTTAAACATAAGGAGAATCCTTTAAGCCCTTGTGTCCTAGTCTTGCCATTTATTACCACCATGTGGTGACGCTAGGGTAGGAGGCCAATAAATCATTTGGACGGGAAGTGACTACAGGCCGGATTAATTTCATTATCGCCCCTAAGCAGATAGGTGTCTAGCACACTGACGTCTCCAGCAAAGACTGATGTTCTCTCCCCCGACAGCCTTCCCCTCGCCTTGCAGACAGCTGGGGTGGATCCTCCCTTTCCCTGCCAAGTGGCTTGGCCTGTCTTTCCTTAATGGTGGTGAGTGGCCACACCTCCTTCCTATGGGGCCACCCCATATCATGAAGTTGCGAGGGGACACTGAGAAGCCTGACCAGGGTGCCCCGCTCTCCTCGCACAGCTGAGCACGGCAAGCACATCAGTCAGAAGCACCAAACGAGGGCTGTGCTCCTCCCAAACCTGCTGAGACAGGTCGGCCACCTGGCCGCGAGCAGAGGAGATGGCTGCAGGCCTGCAACCTGGACTTCAAACTGACCCCCTAACAAGCTCCTCTCTAAGCACTGCGGCGTTTAGCACCCTGCTCCCCAGGAGACTCCCTCTGGGGGGTGGTCCTCCCTGTGGCCCGCCAACAGGAACGCGTTCCCTGGGGGCTTCTGGAATCTCCAACGGGAAGAGCAGCCACTCTTGGCATGTTGATTCCGAGGTTGGAAGGTCCAAGCTGCCCGGGGGTGAGCACGGGAGCCAGTGGCTAACCCACGGCTTTTTCTGCTGGGAGCGCTCCCCCAAAGGCTGCGGGGGCAGCACCCTCCCGCTGCCACCCGCAGCAGCTGCTTCCAAACTGGGCGCGAAGCCCACTCAGCCAAGCACCCGCGGGTGAGGTGTCTGTTCCTGGCTGTTGTCCAGAAAGCTGTGCTTAAGGATCACTCTCGGCTTCCTCCTGGCTGAGGGGAGCCAGGCAGGGGCCGAAGGCCTTCTGGGTGCAGACACCTCTCCCTGGGACTTTCAGCCACAAAAGAAGGAGGCGCCCCCACCTCCCGGTTGCCTGGAGAGCTGCTCCTCCTGGCTTCTGCATCTCTGGGAGAGCACCCCCATCTTCCCCGAGTGCGTCCCGACCCGGCCTCACCCCAGCCTCACTCCCACCCACAAGGCTTGTGTCTACCTCCTGCCGCCTGTGAATCCATCCACTGTGTCCACCTCCAGAGCCCCTGTGTCATTCCTGGTCAGCATCATCTCTCACCTGAAATTTCCCCATTTCCAGGTTTGCATCCCTTACATCCACGCTCTGCACACAGCCAGTCATTTTCTCAAACAAATCTTGCTTAAGGTTCTCTAGTGGCTCCCCACTACTCTTGGGATAAAATTCGACTTTCTAGAGAAGCTGACTGGGCCTGCATGCCGTGCACCTCCCATTCTCCCCCCCCCCC